GAGGCCGACCCACTGCCGTCGCTCATGCCGATTCCGACACCGTCGATTCCGACACCCAGCCCCTGAACATTGTCGTGGCTCAGCGCAGCGCTGGCCTCGGGGTGAAAGATGCCGCTCGCGACGGCGCTGTGGAGGGCGGCCCGGGTCTTCTGCCGCGAAGCCGCCGAGGCAGCGGTGGGGGCTATCGGGGACCTCACGACCGTCGAGGAGGACGCCGAGCTCGCGGAGCCCCTGACGGAGGTCGCGTTCATGCCCGTCAGCCAGCCGCGGGAGGAGCTGAGAAGCAGGGCGGAGGAAGGCGACGCGCGGGCGTGCAGCAGAGCGGACGAAGACAGCGATGACGACGACGACACGTTCTCCCCGTGTACCGCCGACCCCAGCGGCAAGCCGCCGCCGCCTCCGCCGCCGCCGCCGCCGCCGCTCGAACTTCTCCACGGCACCGCCTCGTTGCCGATCCCCGCGGCCCCACCACCGAGCGCCGATGTACCGGAAGACCTGCGGCTCCAGAAAGACGGCGGCGGCGGCGGCGGAGCCGCCGACGGCTCCGGGGGAGTCCTCGCGTGCTGCGGCTGCGACGTAGCAGCGTGGCTCGGCCCCGCCCTCAGCGACGTCCACGAGGACGGAAGGTCCGCGGTGGCGCCGTAGTCACCGCCGCCGATGCCGCCGTAGTCGCCGCCAACGCCGATGGGCTCTCCGGGGGGCATCGACAGCGGCAGACCGCTGTCTCCTCCGCCTCCGCCGCCGCCAGCGGGAGCAACCAGCTGACTTCCGTCCACCAAGCGAGACTTCTGGTACTGGTCCGCGCCGCCGGTGCCGGCCGCGGCGGCGACGGAACTGCCGCCATTTGGAGACCCCGGTCCGGAGTCGTAGCTCCAGCCTCCCGCCGACACCGGGGTGCCCGCTCCCGCGAGCGTCGAGCTCCAGCGCTTCAGCAGGCGGGAGCGCATGGACATGAGCCCCACGGAGAGGGGGGTCCCCGGCTGCTTGGACCCCGTGCCACCGGAACTCGACCCACCCCCGCCGCCGCCGCCGCCGACGACCGATAGTTCGCGGGAGGCGCCGCCGAAGGATCCCACGCTGCTCGTGGGTGACGCGGCGCCCCGCAAGCCTCCCGCCGCTACCCTCCGTTGTGACGGGCGAGAGCCGCCGCCGCCGGCGCTGCTCCCATCATCGCCGCCGGTTCCGGCCCCGACGCCGCTCTCCGTCCTGCTGGAGATCTCGGACCCGGCGCTTTCGCCGGTCACCCTGTCGGAGGAGATCTGCCGCTCCTGCCCCTGCCCAAGGAGGAGGAACGCCGATGAGTTGGCCGTCCCTGCCGGCCCGCCTCGCCCTCCTACCAGGCTTCCCGCTACCCCGCCGCCACCGCCGCCGCCGCCGCCGCCTTCCTTAGGAGTTCCACTTCCGGCAACGGCGGCGGCGATGCCGCTACCGCTGCTCGTGGTGGATGACGATACGCCGTAGGCCATCAAGTTTGTGCCGGCTGCTGCTGCTGCTGCCGCTACCGTGTTCGCCGCTTCCGTGTCCACCCGTAGCCCCGCCGCTGCCGCCGTCGCCGGCGGCCTTTGCGGGCCCCCTCTCCCCGCCGCTGCCGTCGTCGCCGCCGCCGCCGCCGAAGCTTGGCCCGTTGCGCCGCCAACACCGCCTAGGCGATTGCTAGGGTTGCCGAGCGTCGGCCCCGGGGGTGCCGCGGCAGGGCGAAGCCCCATCGTCGGTGAACGAATCGGCCTCCCGCCGCCCTTGTTGATGCCGCCGCCGCTGCTACCGCCGCCGCTGCTACCGCCGCCGCCGCCGCTGCCGCCATGGGGCGGTCGCATCCACGACCTAGGGATCGGCTGCCGGCTAGAGAGAGAGCGGGGCGCCCTTGGTGGCGGAGAAGCAGCGCTGAGACCGGTCGATCCATCCATCCATCAATCGGTCGAGATCGGGAGGGAGGAGAAAGGAGAAAGAGTTTCGCAGATACGCAGGCACGGGAGCAGAGGAGGAGGAAATGTCAGAAGGACCCGGGGTTGGTTGCTGTTGGAGTTGTCTTTTCGGGCCATGAAAGAACTGAACCGACTATGCGACAGGGGTGGTGACGCGGGCAACGAATGCGCAGCTCACGTTCGGGGGGTGGAGCGCCGCAAAATGTAGATATACTGCCCGAACAGCTAATCGCGCTTTGGGTTTCCGGATAACTGCCGAAGAAAAACTTCTGGCCTACTACTACATGTACCAGACAACTCTTATTCCCTCAAAAGACATTCTGACGGCGCGGTGCACCAAAACGTCCGGCAAGCAAGCCGAAGAGAAAAAACGGGGTGGAGGCGGTTGGGCTCACGTCTCCAGTCTAGCTCGAAGCGCCGCTTCGGCGGCCTCTGATATTGCTGTCATCCATGCCCTCTTGTTCCAGACCGTCTTCGCGGAAAGCGTGAACGACTTCTTGGGGTGCTGGATGCAAAACTTGCTGTCGTCCTTCTTGTCCTGAGAACAGAAAAGAAAAAATGTAGTAAGAAAAACAAGAGCGTGAGGGAAACTTAGAAATCACGATGTATGGAACACCGGCACAACAACAGTCGGGTGAAAAAAAAAAACACGTAAAAGCAGCCAGCAGCCAGTGTTCTTTTGTTGTGATATGTAGGCGAGGAGGGTAAATCGTGGATCCAGGCCGATCGATCGTGCAGCCAAAACACGCAGCAGCGGGGGGGGGGGGGGGGGGGGGGGGGGGGGCCAAAAAAAAAAAAAAAAAACCCCTTGGGAAAAAAAAAAAAAACCCCATAAAAGGTTTTGGGGAAAAAAAAAAGGGGGGGGTGTGGGGGGGTTTTTTTCCCCCGTTTTTTGACCCACAAAAAATTTTC